AAAAGCAGCAATGAAGCGGCAAGCTAAGCCCTACAATGTTCAGTGGGCTTCTGTGGACCCAGTTGGGGACCTGGTTGGCAAGCAGTGTGAAGAGGCCTGGGGTCTCTTGGGCCCAGAGTCAGTGGCGTGGTCACGGAGGCCTCAAAGAGGAGAGTGGAGCTACTGGCTGACGGGAAGAGAGGACATATGCACAGGAGTGCCCACACTTGCAGATGATACCCACGTGACCTGGACCGGATGACTGGATGATAGGAGCTCAACCAGGAAAGGAAAGAAGAGGGGAAAAAGAAAGAAAAAAAAAAGGGTGAGCTGATACAGTCTGATGAACTATGGAGACCTATGGAGCAGCGACTCAAAAGAGGGAACAAATCCTCAAAGCAAGAAACATTCACACACACCCCCACACACAGAGTGGACAGAGAAGGGCAGCTTGGACATTGGATACTCAAATGGGGAGGAGGGACTAAAAAGGCAAGAAGTGACTGGCTTACAAGCTTTCAAGAGAGAACCTGGTGCTAGGGAGCATGGCGGAAGACAGAAGCTCCAGTAGGTACTATCTATTCAATCTGTTTGGGCGTAGCGGATAAAAGGAGATACAGATGGGTAACTCATGATACTGTAGTGAATAATGCTTATCAGGACGGATTACGAGGGTTAGAAATGCAAAGGTAGACGTTTTATAACAAGGAAGGGAGTAATTAATTCTCCAGGATAGGAGCAGAGGCCTCTGGGACCATCAAAAGAGAAGAGTTGAGGGCGGGACCCTACCCAGAGAAACAGAGATGCCTGAGATAGAGACAGAGATGATGACGTGGAGTGATGAAGCGACTGGGGACTTTAGACCCAGAGAGGGAAAGGGACTGTGGGTCGAAAACTGGGGGGAGGAGGAGGAAGTGTAGGGGGTGGGTTTCTGGGATATACCCTTTGGGTGGTTGAGGATGCATGGAGGGGATTGGAACCATGATAGTGAGATGATAAACGATGGAATAAATGTAAAACTGAAGTTCCCCCATGTAAACTATCATATAATTCACAATAAAACATTTAAAAGAAAAAAAGGCAAATGAGAGGAAAAAGAAAAAAAAAAAAAAATGCAAATGAGAATGATATGTTCTTTTTTCTCATTTGAAATCCAAGCCTAGCTCAAGGGATGCTGGGCTACCTATTGGAAGAGACAGGATATACATGTTTTTAAGTACTATATGTAGAAAAAATTAATAGTTTCACATAGCTTGTGCTAAGAAAATGAATACCAACGTAATGTCTGAACATTATGTTTAACATCAGTTTAATGTTATTAATACTAAGTCCCCAGCAAAAGGTAAAATAACATTGAAGCCATTATTGTCCCTAGAGATCCTAAAAAATGTTACAACTGAATTAGCTCAACAATATCTAGATCCTAAGCATTTATAACATAACATCCAGCACCTACACAGTGTATTTTAATAGGGTGTGGTGAAGGAAAATCACTGATCACCCATAAATAGGTGATATTCTTAAATGAACCTTTTACTTTCAAACATCCAATTCCCACAACCACTAAAGCTTCTGAATTACGTATGATGATTTGAGATAGAGCATCTTCTCCTACAGGTTACATATGCGGTCAAATCTTATGTAATGATTTAAATGTTTTGCATTTTCCTCTTGAGTTACAATTTAGTAATTGTCGAGAAAAATATTCCAGACAATTCAGTTCTTTTATCTAAGTTGCTGTTGTTGTTAAGTGCCATCAAGTCGGTTTCGACCCATAGCAACCCTGTATAGTGTTTCTGAGGAGCAGCTGGTGAGTTTAACCACTGACCTTGCAGTTCAAACCGACCTTGCTGTCCAGTGCATTAACCCACAGTGCCACACCAGGACTCCTTTATCCCAGTATCAAGTCAGTTCATAAAACTATCAATCTACAAGGGGCTTCAAAAAGTTCATGGAAAAATTCTATTATCTTCCAATTCCATTTTTCCATGAACTTTTTGAAGCTCACTTGTATTTACAGTTCTGCAATAATGAATACAATAACTAAATCAACTAACGTTAACGACTTCTGGTTTACTCCCTTATAAATTTAAAAGATGTACAGAGGAAGCACGTGTTTGCAGATACAGTGTGTTAAATAAAGGAGATGACCTACTATGGAGCTCACAGTAATGTTTGCTTTCTTACCATGCTTGATGAGAAGAATCATTTCTTAATACATTCACAGGAACCTTAATTTCACCTAGGAAAATATCTTGGACCAGATTTCCATTGTTCCACAAGTCAATCCTGAAAATGAAAAGCTGACTTTAAACTGGCAAACAATATTTAAGAGATTGCACACCATCAAATATATTTAAATCACTACGATGAGTATTACAGCATTAATTTCACATGCTTAAGAGTAAAAGATGTTAGCACTATCCGATACTTCACTTTCTAAACTAGAAATGCAGAATACTGTAGTAGCTTTTATTTAAAAGCACTGAGTTAAAAAAACAAAGTCTAAAACAATCACTCATTCATTTATTTTAATCTGTAGCAATAATAAAAGACCACAGAATTTGCTTTGATGAATTAAGAGAAAAGAAACCAACATAAGACTATATATAGAGGTTTCTCTCCCAATTATTTAGCTAATTAATATGTAAATATAGGTGATTTAGAAAAAATACATTACCTGATCATTCCAAATACTTGATTAATATACCCTTTAGATGAACACACTGTTAATATCACACCTACACATGCATTGACAATAACTTTCCCCTCCCAAAGAGCACAAATATTTAAGACCTAGGAGGCAGCACAAACTTCAAACACATGCACCTGTTGCTGAATTATCTTACAAGACACTTCTTACCTCACTGAAATTTCTGTTAGACAGCACATATATTAAGAAGAATAAAAAAATTATTTCTAAGTTGGCTGAGATATAATTGAGTTTTCTCTGCGTTCTTTGTTATGATTCAGAAATTTAAGGACCAACTAAATTTTGGGAAAATTTTAAAATGAACATAATAACTAAAATTCAGGTCATATCTGTTTATAAGGTAATATACCTTGGCTAGTTCTACAAGGAAATCAATGTTAAAAAGATAATTTGGATTTAAACTGATGAAAGTTTTATCATCCAACTTGCTAAAGCTTAGTTCATTTTTTCAGTTAAATGTAGAATTTTCTTTTGGCACAGAAAAAAAAACACATACCTAATTTCTAGCTTCTCAATGTCTTCCTCTTGTACCTGAAACTCGGACTTCCTCGTGTAACTGCTGGGTCTGGTTACCTGTAAACAAAGTATTTTAGTGAAAAGACAAAACAAAACACTTTTTTCCTACATAAACTGAAAAATTATCCTCAAAATTTTCAATTGTGGATATGGAGGATACTTGAAGACTATGCCCAGAAGTCAAATATAATAATAGCTGATATTATCCAAACATCAAATATAATAACAGCTGTGGAAGTTTTTGTTGTGTTGCTGTTAGGTGCCATCGAGTCAGTACCTACTCATAGTGACCTTATGCACAGCAGAACACAGGGAAATAAAATAAGGTGGTGGAAAAACAAAAATATCTTTTGCTTCTACACCATTCTCAACCACTCAATATGTAGTAGCTGCATTAGGTTCTCTGGCTCATATGTAATCTCCCCATCACAATAAGCTGCATACTACAAAAGAACTGTTTGAAGACTCTCCACCAGTCTCATCCTTATGCTTCTCTCTCACATTTTTGCTGACAATATCAAGAACATTGACAGGAGCTTCTTCATCTACTGTTCACCTGAACATGTCACTCTCATATACACCTTTTTAATTACATTTTCTTATATTTCTAAACAACAGAATGAGATGATCCTCTTTTCTGTGACTACCCCACTGTATGTATGTCTTGCACTCAAAGTATGCAAGAAACATGCAGTACTCACTCAATCTATTTTAATTACAGCTTTATGAGCTCATTCACTCACTCAAGTCAAAGAAAAATTCTCCGCTTAGTCTTCCTATCTCTTTCCTTTCAGACAAGTTTCTCAAAATTTTAATCCATCTTTACAACCTCTACTTCCTCACCACCCACGCACTCCACTGCTGCCTTATCCTGTTCCTTTCCCACAGATGACTCTCTTAAACCTCTTAATCACCAAATCTGGTGTTCAGTGCTTAGTTCTCATCTCTGAGCTCTCTGTAGCATGGTGTACTGGCAACTATATGACTATACCTCCTTTTCCACTAATACTCTTGTCTTTGAGTTTAGTGGGACACTATCCTGGCACTACAGGCACTAGGACCCCCTGGGTGGTGCAAATGGCTAAGCACTCAACTACTAACTGAAAGGTTGACAGTTCAAACCTACCCAGAGGTGCCTCAGAAGACAGGCCTAGCAATCTGCTTCTGAAAGCCCAATGGAGCACACAGTTCTGCCTCTGCATACATGGGGCAACCATAAATAATAATCATTTCAGTGGCAACTTTTCAAAAAAAATTCTGGCAAACTTCTGCTCTCTTTGCTTCTTCCTCTGGCACCTCTTCTTCCTTACAACCTATAAATATGGGTATTCTTTAAATCTTCATCTTTTATTCTACTCTAAAACTCTGCTGCAAGTGCACAGTGCTGTACAGTTTACAACGTGCTTTCACATCCATTATCTCCTGTATTCATCAAAAATGCTGCTCTGACGCAGGCAGGGCTAGATTCATTATCCTCGTCTTAAAAAGGAGGAAGCTGAAATACAGAAATTACAGGACATGCACAAAGATGAACACCTAATAGATGGTAGGACTAAGCTTCTTCGCTTTTGTTCTTTTTGTATACCCTAGTGTGGTGCTGTGGGTTAATGTGCTGGACTGCAAAGTTGGTCTGAACCACAAAGTCAGTGGTTCAAGCTCACCAGCTGCTCCTTGGAAACCCTATACCAGGTTGCTCTGGGTCAGGAACAGACTCGACAGCACGTAACAACAACAGTAACAATTCCCTTAGTTTTTTTGATTCTTTGTAAGAGAATCTTCATCTACAACTTAGGTTTTACATTTCAGACCTCAAGGTCACTATGTTCCAAAGAGAACTATTTATCTTTTCCTTCCTCTTAACGGTCCCATTTTTCCACGTTTGAAACCATGGGGAACAATCCCTCTCTTTCTCTTTTCTTCTATAACCATTTTGTTATACTGCCCTTTGGAGTTTCTTCTAAATCTGCCCCTTCCTCTCCATTCCCATTAATACCCTCTTGGATGGGGTTCCTATTGTTTGTATTTTTTACATCTAACCTACAACAGTTTTCTAATCTCTTTTCTCTCTCCCTAAGTCATTGGGTTCTCAGATATTTGTCAATTATTCCTAAAACACTGCTTTATTCTTAACATTTTCAGATTCAAAAACATTCAATGACTAAAATTTAAGCGTCTCAACCTAGGACTCAAGGCCTTTTATTAGCTAGTCCAACTCTTAACTTGTTTGTAACTTCTTATGAGCTGGTTCCAACTCATAGAGCCTTGTAATAGGGTTTCTGTGGAGCGGCTGGTGTGTCTGAACTATCGACCTTACAATTAGCAGTCCAGTGCTGATCCTACAGCACCACGCTAGGACTTTTCAGTCTTAGCTCCCATTTTACTCTTCTATAAACCTTCCAGTCAAATCACTCTTTCAGGTTCTTTGGACAGAGATTTCTGTCTCTGTGGCTCCGCTCAAAATGTTCATTCTAATACTCTCTTCTCCATCACACTTTAAAAACTCCAGGCATTCTTAAAACCTCCCCAATCACCTCATATGTACTGTGCTGTACTGCTCTATGTATACATGAACATGTTTACTTTGTGTCTTATGCTTTAACTAGAAAGCACAGATTGAACATTAGCTATTTTTATAAAATCAATCACTTCAAACAAACAGGCCTGCTGAATTAATGACTCAAGGCCTAACTGGTACTCTAAAATACAGCAAGCCGGTCAGGCCTTGACTTTAAGGTGTTAAGGACCCAGGAGGCATGGTAGATTCTATCCCATTTGAGGTTCAAGTGCCTGGATTAATGGGAAATGTGATTGCCTTTAGTCAATACCCTTTTATGTTGCTGCATTCTTTGTTTTCTAGGCTAGATATAACAGCCACTAATAAATGCAGACCAAGTCCTTAGCCAGGAAATAGAAAAGTCTCACATTGGTACATTTTCTTTTGAGTTTTTCTCCCTTGACTCCACCCCCACACTTCTTCCTACTTCACTTTTGACATTTCTTTCAGCCTGTGTTCCTTTACAAAATTCAGTCATCAGTCAAGACTAGATGCACCCTCATTCTCTTTACCTTGAAATAACAAGGGAAAAAAAAAAAAAATGTAACTTCTCTTTTCAAACTTTCCTTAAATGTTAATCTCAACTGCAACATGTTCCACTATTAGAACACAATCTTTCACAGTGTTTTATTTATTTAAGTTGTCAAATAATACGAAAAAGGATTTATTTAAAAATGCTCTCAAATATGTAACTCCAAAGTACTAATTAGGGCAAAGTACTATTTAGGTAGCTGAAGATATCTATAAAAACAAGGATGTGACCATAATGAATTAGGACAAATTTCAAAAATAAGTTTATATAATAAAGAGGCCTTAATTATACGATACTTGATGTTCTCAAAGCATTCTCACATTTGGACGCTATAAAAATTCTATGATTTAGGTAGAGCTGCTATGGTATCCCAATACAAAATGATTCTTTTACAAGATAAGGAATTTGAATCTTACGTTTAGTGACTTGTTCCAAGTCAACTGAGACTTCTTAGAACTTAGATCTACTGTGTACTACGTAAACTTACCTCACTAGTGGTTTTTAAACTGCTCTGCAGAAGAGAAGGCCATATGTATCAAGTGGGAGGTCAGTTCAGGTGCGAGGGTCCAGGAAGGTATGACAATAAGGATTAACAAGGGGTGGATGTTGCCTTAGGTCTCTCAGCCTCAAACCAATCAGAGCTCTGCCTTTATCTGCTTTGTATATTCGGCCCTACTACATTCCACCGTTCTCAGAAAACAAATGCTTAATTTCTACATCGTGGTTAATGTTCTTGGGTATCTTCAAGTTCATTCTAACAGACAAGAGTAGAACTGCTCCATGGAGTTACCCAGGGCGTAATCTTTATGGGAGCTCATCATCTGGACTTTTGTCTCGCAAAGGCACTGGTGAGTTCGAACCACCCACACCTTTCAGCTAACAGTCAGGTGCCTAACCAGTATACCATCAAAACTGTTTGTTGTTAAAGTATTTATTAATGTATGTGAGCAATAACTAATGTGTTGGGCTTATCTTCGTATGTGAAATTTAAACAAATATTTTAATAGCTTTCTGGAACTAAATATTAAAACCATGCTTGTTGTATTACTACAATCTTACTTAATTACTTCCCACTGGTTAAGACAGCAGAATCAGAAATCCAAATGAATATAATACTGAATATTTGTTCTGAAAAAAAAATGACTGATTTGTGAAGGAACACGGTAGCTCCATATGATAAGAACTGGACTGTGAACCACAAGGTTGGTGGTTTGAGCCCACCAGCCACTCCATGAGAGAAAGATGAGGTTTTCTGCTCCCATAAGATTTTGCCTCAGAAACCCTATACAGGTTAGCAATGAGTTGGAAATGACTCAACAGCACTTAACAACAATAATGTTAAGTGATGATACTTACTGTACTTTCTAGTTAATTTAGGACCACTGTGATATAATTAATTTTCTGTCTTCTTGGCTAGGCTATGGTTCCAGTGGTTTAGTCCAAAAGTAGACTAGTTGCTATTCTACAATGCAATCTAATGTAATCTATTAGTTGAAAGGGGAGTTCTCTTGGGGTATAGTTTCTCCATACTGTAAATAGATATTTTGGCAGAACTCTCTCTTTCCCACTCTGCATTCTTCTTGTTGCCTGTCCTACATACATATCTTGGTATATACAAGTCTGTAGAATGGATTTTGGACCTGCCAGCCTCCCACATTCCCAGAAGCCCCACCCAATTATATGACCTATGGATTTCGGACTTGCCAGCTCTTACAATCACATGAGTCAATATACTGAAGTAAAGTTCTTTATATATCTATATGCATTTATAATCTCACTGGTTGCTTTTCAAGAGAACCCTGGCTAATCTAACCAGCTATACAGGTATAGACTTGTCAAAACTGCTTTTAATAAAATGATGACCATGGCAATGGTTTGAAAAAAGAAGTCAACCAGCATTCAATATTAAATATTCAATGCAAAGCACATTTATATAAAACAAAAAAATTACCTCAAAATAAAAGATTTCATTAAACTGTGGATTGCTTGTTTTCTTCTTTACTTTTGTCTTCTTTTGGTCATTCCTGTTCCAATGTGGTAGAGTTTTACCTTGTAGAACTTAACAGTGCACAATTATAAAACATGCTATTTCCAACCAGGGAACATGACCTTTTTTAAAGGTGGCTCAGGGAAGAAATTAATTTTAAATATTACTTGGAGGGAAATTATGCTGATTCTATAAACTAAAATCAAAGGAATACAACAAGCTTTGTGTATTCTATTATATATGCCAAGACTGAATATTTTTCTCTCTGTGGCTATATTAGACTGACTGTCAAACTTTCTTCGGGCGATTTTAGTAACACATTATACTATACAGGTATAAGCAATTCAGAACACAAAGTGAGAAGGAGGAAAATGACATACGGAGTACCTTTATCTATACCAGAAATTACCTAGAGAACTTAAAAAATATTGTCAACTCAGTTCACTCCACTTCCAAAAATGGATTTTTTTTTTCATACTTCCTATTTTGAAATAATTATATATTCACAGATGGATGCATAGAAATGTACAGGCAAGTCCTATACACACTTCTTGAAGACTTTCCCAATGTGTATGCTACTAAACAATTATATTAAGGACTATGTCTGCCAGGTACAGCTTATAAAAATCTGTTAGGGTAAATATTTTTTAGCATGGAGGCGAAAATGCACTTGATGGCATTAATACTACAGGATTAAGTTGTCTGCTTCAAAAACATTAAATAATCTGTAATAATAACAGTACTCTATTGCTGGAGTACCCAATAAGTGATAGGTACTTTATATACAGATATGAAAGTATTTTTTCAAAGAGGCCTGTCAGGGATTTTTCCAAAAAGTAAGACTAACCAGGGAACTTGGGGTTGGGGTGGAGTGGGCATGTGTGCACACTGAGAAGGAATATTGTGCTTTTTGATTCCTGATTCAAAACCTTCACATTTTAGACAAATTTCAGATGAGTGAGACCCTAAAATCCAAAGAAATCTATAGAATATAAACTACTACAAAGTGTTAGTTTCTTTCTAAGCGACCACATACCATATAAATCAACAGTGCATGCACACCACTGTGTACTAGTACATCAGCATTTGTCTGTGGAATTCTCTTTAGAGCAAAAATTCAATGAATGGAAAAGTCATTTTTAGTCCTTGCTATTCTGAGCTGGTATTTATTAAATCAGAATTTTACCTGGGTAAAGTCTAAAATATTTTAAAGCAGGAACACTGATGAATACCATAAGCAAGTTTATGTTCTAAAGGCCACTGTAACTAGTGTAAAACTACCATCCTTCAGAGCCTAATGGTCTAAAAGGTTTTAAACAGTACTCCTTTTTCTCCTTTCTTTAGAATTGAAAACAATTTGATTGTTTTCAAGAGTATAACAGAATTCACTAAAGGCTGTTTCAAAACAGTCATTACTTTGTAGCATTAATAATTATTCACCATTTGCTCTTAGAGTCTTCTTAGCTTTATCATTCTTATGTCACATTTGAGCACTTAAAAACTTAGTAATAATTCAATATACATTACCTAGAAGGGCCCACCAGAGAAACCGTTGCATAAGGGTCACAGCTTTGTCCATTTATGAGAGGCAACCCATGGCACGCCATGATGCTGAGGTAGAGTAAAAGAGAATTAACACGTTGCAACTAAAACTATACAAGATGTAGCTTTAAATAGAAATTAACATATTCAAAAGTTTCAAAACTGTTTCCCAGGTGTCTGTATACTTGTATACCTTTATATAGGTGCTGCAGAATAATGCACTGGACTGCAAAGTTGGTTTGAATCACAAGGTCAGCATTTCAGGTGCTGTGGGTCAATGCACCAGACTGCAAAGCTGTTTGAACTGCAAGGTCGGCGGTTCAAACTTACCGGCTGCTCCTTGGAAACCCTCTACAGGGTCACTATGGGTCGGAATCAACTAGACAGCACTCAACAATCACTCCTCGGAAACTCTATACAGGGTTGTTTTGAGTTGGAACCAACTTGACGGCACTTAGCAACAACAACAACAACAACACAAGTACATGTGAGTATGCATTTATTTGATTATACTGTTTTTAAAATAGCACTAAATTGGGATGCAATGGTCAGTTTTGAGACCGCTAAATAATATTCAACACTTTCTTCACAAACATCCAACAAGGTGTTATTTTGTAGTTTGAAACACATCGAAACTGATGTGGCTTATAAAAAAGAAAAGGAAGCAGTGAGGACTGCAACTCAGTTTTATGGCATCATACCCTCTGCTAATGCATGAATGAGAAAAAAGGAAACAACTGTGGTTTCCACGTAAAATCTGATTCATAACTCTAAGGCTAACTTTCACACAATTCTGTAACCTGTTATTCCAATTCTTAGTAAAAGATCTTGCAAGCATTCTGTAGAAAAAAATTTAACTAAAAAAAGCTACAATTGCATATAATCTACTCCATGAATTATATTCATTCACATTTACAGAGAACAAATAAATTGGCTTAAAAAATTTGCTCATCTGAATTCCTTACTGAATATTACTGAGTTCATGAGTTTAGTTAATGTCTAAGAATCTGCATCTCCTGATACCTAAGAGACATTCTCAATGAGTATTGCTGAAATTTTTCTCTGTTGAATTATATAGGCATAGATGTAGAACTGCTGGGCAATTTCTCTGACAACCACAAATGACTACGTGACTGGATTAAGTGCAAATGGTGTGCTGCCAAGTAAAGTGAGAAATGATAACATGACTTATTCTCATTAAACTGGGTATCAAAAAAGGAAGTAGTCATCAATACAATATTTCTAGGATTTAATGTTAGGCTCAGGTACATTAAAATCCCCCTGCTGTACTTAATGTTTGAGACTTTGTTTTTAATGTAGCATTTACAGGTATCATATACTCTCACAAAGCGCAACTGAAAACAACTGCCTTTGAGATGAGTATCACCATGCCATATTTTTAAAAGATTCAAAGAGATTACAGGAGAAAATCATAAATCTTGCTTTGTCATTTTCTCATATAACATTTCTGAGCCTTTATTTTCTGCACAATTTGCAAGAAGCAGGCCAAGACTCAAATTCTACTTCTTAATTCTGTTAAAATTAAAGTTCAGTACTTTCCCACATTTTCACTATACCTGAAAACACTGCATTACTCGGCTTACAATATTAAACTGATCACATTAACAATAATTTAAAGAAATCTATATTATAAATATCATACCTGTATGAGATACTAACAAAAAAACAAAGCAAATGAAGTACCACAGAGTTCCATGAGAATACTCACAAACCAAAACAATGAGGCCAATAAACCCAAAGTATAAGCCTATAAAAATCATCAAAATTACTCTTTATTTCAAAATTTAATAAAAATTTAAAATGGTAGAAACCCCATTGAATAGTTTTCAGCTTGTCTAGACAGGTCTGGTGAAAGGAGATGGGAATAAGATTCGTATGATTCAATATAGAGTGTGCAATTGTCAGAACTGTAAAGGTAGACCTTTTGTAACAAAAAGGGGGAGAGTAGTTACTCTTACAATCCAGGAACAGGGGACCGTAGGACCATCAAGGGAGAAGAGCATGAGTGAAATGAGGGACCTTATTCAGAGAAGCAGCGACAGAAGGGATGGAGGCAGAGATGAGAACACAGAGAAATAGAGCAGCTAAGGACTCCAGACTCATGGAAAGAGAAGGGTGAGCGCTCAGCTGGTAGCCAGGAGGTAGGCTTGCAGAATGTGCCTTTTCACTGTTTAACTGATTATATATTCCTGAGTGTTTTTGTGTACATTCATAACAAAAACAAACAAACAAACAAAAAAACAACCACAGAGGGAATGAATGAATAGAAGCAAATACTGTTATGATGATGCAGGATGGGATTGTAATCATTGCAGTGAAATGAAATACCACAGGATGAATGTAAAATTGATGTTCTCCCACGTAAATTATCACTCAATTTACAATAAAAACTTTAAAAAAAACAACATAATTTTTTTTTTAGTGCTTTCTGTCAAAGTCCAATAACACTGGTAAATAAACATTATTCTATTTGCTACCTAATCTAACCCACTGCTATGGAGGAGATTCTGACTCATACTGTCCCTGCCATTCATAGTAGAACCACTCCACAGAGTCTCCAATACTGTATATCTTAACAGAAGCAGACCGCCTCATCTTTCTCCCAGTGAGTGGCTTAGTGGTTTCAAACTGCCAACCTTCTGATTAGCAGTGCAACATTTAACCCACTGTGGCAGTAGGGCATCCTTTTATTTGCTACATATATTCTAAAATAGTCTTTTTCTAATCACCTAGGATATATGAAGGGGCTTCCAAAAGTTTGTGGGAAAATGGAATTAAAAGATAATGGAAGTTTTCCGTGAACTTTTTGAAGTCCCCTTGGGACTATTCTAATTGATTAAATAATTTAATGCCACATACCACGGATGGGCAGAAAATAAATGTTGAAAATAATCTTAGTATCATGAATTACCTTTGTTATTGTTGTTGTTACGTGCCATCGAGTAGGTAACAACTCATTGCAACCCTATGCACAACAGAACGAAAACACTGTCCAGTCCTGGGCCAACCTCACAATTGTTGCCACGCTTGAGCTCATTGATGACTGTCACTTTACCAATCCACCTCACTGGGGGTCTTCCTCTTTTTCTCTGACCCTCCACCCAACCAAACATGACTGGTGCCTCCTGACAATATGTCCAAAGTATGAGAGATGAATTTTGGCCATCCTGGCCCCCAAGTAGCACTCTGGATGCACTTCTTCAAGCACAGATCTGTTGGTTCTTTTGGCAGCCCATGGTACTTTCAACATTCTCCTCAAACACCATAACTCAAATGCATCAATTCTTCTACGGTCTTTCTTATTCACTGTCCAGCTTTCTCATGCATATGAGGTTATTGAAAATATCATGGCTTGAATTACCTTACAATTTTTATATATATATATAGCATAGAAAGCATTTGATATTAATAAATTACCTAGAAATTACAAAGGGAAATAAATGTCTATATCCAGTGCAAATGGAGTTAAGAGCAACTGGATTTATCATCCCACCTGAAACAACTGAAAAACGAGCAGAAACTGCAGTGCATGGCAGTGAGCCCTATGAGGAAGAATAAGCCATATGGGTCCAGCTAACTTCTAGATGATTTCCCACAAAGAAAAGACAGAGCTGCCAGCTGGGGGACGTCAAAACTAGAATTCCCAGGCAAAGTATTGAAGAGAAGCACAAAGAGAGAGAGGGAGGGAGATGTAGACAGACATTCCTCTGAAAAATTGGTAACAATCCCCCCAAAGTCTTTACCTGAAAACTAGTTAAGAGTATGCATAATGTGCGGAAACCACCCAAACAAAACAAGAAAGAAAGAATCATTTTAAAAGAGTAGAGGAAACAATTCTCAAAGTCCACACATGACTGGCAAAACTCCTGTTCCCACCATACACAGTACTGCCTCTGCAGTGGAAAAATATAAGGCCTAGATTAAAGGCTGCTCATGTTTCATCTAAAACAAAAAATTGAAAGTTAGGTCAAAAGGATCAAACTGTTTCCAAGTCACTTAACTGAGCCCTCAACAAAGCTCAAGAATATTTATAGGAATATAAAAATATTCAGCAACTTTAATGTCTGGCATAAAAAACACAAAACAACCAACCAGAAATACAAAGCAACAAAATAATATCAATAATGAAAATAAAATCAAAAGAAGAACTCAAGTCACATAATCAGTACTGTTGCTGTTAAGTGCCATCAAGTCGGTTCTGACCCACATTGATCCTGTATAGGGTTTCCAAGGAGCAACTGGTAAGCTTGAACAACTAGCCCTGCGGTTCAAACCTTGCAGTCCAGCACATTAACCCACAGTGCCACGAAGAAGATTTAAAAAGCTGTTATAACTATATTTCAAGTTCACTGGTAGTGGAGGTGATTATGTCCTGTGGAGTTGTTTCTGACTCATAGCAATCCTGTATAGGGTTTCTGAGGCTATAAATCTTTACAGGAGCAGAAAGCCTCATCTTTCGTCCACGGAACTAATAGTTTCAAACTGCTGACCTTGAGGTTAGCAGCCTTACTAGTAACCATCAGGCTACCAGAGCTCCTTCATGTTCAGTAGAAACATAGAAACTACTACAAATAAAATTACATGGGTCAGACTCATAGAAAATTAGACATGACAGAAAAGATTAGTAAGCATAAAGATATGGCAATAGGTACTATCCAAAATATAAACAAAAAAGGTTGAAAACAATTGCGCAGGTTTGTGGAATGACTTCAGGCAGTCTAAATTGCATAATTGTAGTATCAAAGAAAGGGGCTGTAGAAAACATATTTGAGGGGAAAAAACGATGAAAAATTCAAAATTTGATGAAAACTGAACCCCACAGATTCAAAATCAATGAACCTTCAGTACAGAAACTTAAAAAACAAAAAATTTCAAGGCATATCATGATCAATTTGGTTATAATCAGAGAAAATCTTAAATAAACTCCTGGTATGGCACTGTAGGATAACGTACTGGGCCATAGGTCAGTTTAAGGCTCAAGATCAATGGTTCAAACCCACTAGTTGCTTCTCAGAAACCCTATACAGGATTGCTATGACTCAGAACCA